TGAAACCCAGCAGCTTGAAGGGGTCAAAAGTTGCTTGAGAATCCAAATTGATTGGGAAGGTACATACTTTAGACTCTTGAGATATTTTGGTGGGACTATGACTATGACCCAAGCCTAAACAAAGATTGAGTCAGGGAAACCACTCAAAGGATTGAAAGGTCACACGAGATGAAGCGCAAAATAATTAAGAAAGCACTCAACTCCCAAGGGCACTGATCATGCCGCAACACGCCACCGTGGGGACCGACCCTTCCCAACACTACGTCGCGAAAAAGCATGCGTGACCGACCCTACTAGTACTTCATGCTTGACACGTCGGTCGCAATCTCGCTGGTTGAAAGCTGGGAGGAACGTCAGTCATCAACTCTGCTTAGTTCGGGCCATCCCAAGTCACTGAAACGAAGAGTCTCACATGGCAAACACTTCCCGTCTTTCCGAGTAAGAGTTCGATCCCAGGTCTCGTGTGAATGAGAAGAGGTCACAAATCGAGAGCAATAGAATGAAGAGGTTCCCAAGCTTCCCAACCAAGAGCTCTCTCAGCCGTCGGCATTGGGCCGCTCCAAACTGCGGGAAGCACCTGCCCGGATGGCATGCTCAACGAGCTTTACGTGTTTTGTAGCAAGAACACGGAAGCTAAGTCCAGGTCCATGCCCCACTAAGGTCATGGTTGGCTGCTTCATTACTTCGGCAGATCGAAATATTTTGATTCAGCTGGCAGAGCTTAAGCAAGTGCAGGTGCCGTTTTGGCAGTGCTTTTTGCATCGATCCAGAACCAAATCCGGTCAAATTCAGTGGCCTCTGTAAACAAGGCTCGCTTTTCCTTCAGTGTGCAAGACCTTTCCTCTGCCTCTGCGTAGCACGAAATGGGCTGCTCTCGGTTCCCTTTGTTGTAATGGAAGACGTAGTACCTGATTGCCTCCGTGCCCACGCCGTAGTCTGCGTCGAAGCATTCCTGCGGGCTTCTAGCCATCTTCCTATTCTTGGTGGCCTGCATCTCCTTGCACTCGAAACTTTTCCCCATGCGAGTCTGACGCCAGCCTTCCTGCTTGGCACAAACACTGGTGCGCCATTGCTTCATGTCATCAGTGCATCTTTTCATTTCTTCGGGGTCGCAGCTGCCACCTGTCTGCCAAATCTGCATGAGCGAAGCTCTCTCGAGCTTCCTCTCTTCGAACCAGCCTTCCTGGAGCGCCTTCTTCCGGATGTTGGGCTGAAGCTGCAGGAGCTGCTCGGTCACTTCTTCCCCAGCCTCCGGCTTTGGCTGCAGCCAGCTGTAATTCCGGCCCAGCTCGGAGTCGACGCCTTTTTGGGTCCAGAGAAGTTGCAAGTCTTGGCCAACATAGGCTGCGGCCACATCTTTGCCCTCTTGGCTCAGGTCGTCTTTGGAGGCTAAGTCTGCATCGTGCTTGCTCAGCACCGAGTTGCACATCCTTTCGCGGCTGGAGTTCTTCAAGACCTGAGGATGGCGGCTACGTATGCACAGCAACATCTTTCGTTCTAGAAAAGCATCTCTGTTGGCTTCATGAGTTTACTAACTTCTCGTCTACAGCAATTGCTTTTGGAGTGTGATCAGGCACCCAACCCTAGTTTGTTGCCCCAACCGAGCTTCCTTTTGAAAAGGCACTT